CCATCAGCCTCTGATGAGGCGTCATCGCCAAGAGTGGGTAATCAGGACAATTCATCCATATGAATCGGCCAACCGTAATAAATCGGTCCTAGCCTCCCTATTACTGTAATACCAGGGTGCGGACATGGACACACGGAGGCAGGAGGGAAATAGGGACGGGGAGGGGAAGAGACAGGGGAGAGGAAGAGAGGGGAGAGGCAGAGAGGAAGAGAGGAGGAAAGAGAGAGAAACGGAAACAGAACAAAACTATAGGGAAGTACGCGGCAGGCAGGCTTGCTATCAAATGCAAACGTTTATATGCATCACATTAAGCAGTAGATTGCAAATAACCATCTGCTTGTTAACTGCAACACTGTTAAAAATTTCATGGGATTTAACGAAGATTCACTTTCCACCACTATTAGAATTTCCCAGAGGACTCCGTCCTTTGTTTTTGTGTACTAAAACAGTTGTTAAAGGTGGAAGTTTTCATTGCTCTACATGTTTCAAAGCTAAACTCGACACGTAAAATCTACAGAGTTCCTTAGTAAATCCCAAAGGACTTCGGCAATACTTTTCACGATTGTGAAATCCTCCGTGAAATCTCAGAGGAGTTTTTCTAACAGTGAACAAATATGACAGTCGGTAAGTTTAGAACCTTCAATATGCTTTATCTGCTGCAGAAAATTAAAAAAAAAACAAAACCTTTTTAATGCGGTACTGATACTAAACTGGTTAAAACAATTAGTGTTTTCGTCACAGATAGTTTGAAAACATTCCAAGACCGTTGGAATCGTTGACTAACCCCTTCCCCAGCCCTACAAATGCCCAGTGCGGCGCAAACGCCCCTCTTGGTTGTATAATTATTGCGTGCTGTCGCATGCGCCGGCGGGCTCATTCCCGACCAGCAACAAAGACACGGCGTGTGCGACGGCGGGGCGTGATGACTGCACAAGTGCGAAAAGTAGTGCAGCAGCCAGCTCGCCGTCATTCTCTCTCTCTCTCTCTCTCTCTCTCTCTCTCTCTCTCTCTCTCTCTCTCTCTCTCTCTCCCTCTCTCTCTCTCTCTCTCCTCTCTCTCTCTCTCTCTCCATGAATTATTTACGCCGTTCATCTCCATACACACACCCTTCCCCTTCA